ACTGTCATTTAGGTTGTTTATAATCTTTCATGTTTTATTGCTAGTTTTAATTTGGGATATAACAAACACCTTTGTTACTAATATAATAAATGTGAAATTTGTATGATTGTTACTCAATCATGCAAAAACTACGCATATAGTTTATGATCTGGATTGAGACATACGATTTGTTTTATCCAAAAAAATTAAGGTGCCTATGGGAATCCCAAAAAAATAAAGTTTTTGCATACAAAGTCGCGAGTTGCTGCTAGCTAGGTATAAGTTAATGTTCTTTACAGCAGCATTATTGTTTTTTTTTAATTTGTAATAGCAAACGCCTTTACGATGTAAGCATGTCTTTAAGCATCAACTAGAAGCGACTGAACAACCCATAACCGTGTCAACGTAATAAGCAGAAAGAATAATGAAGAATAAAAATTTATGTTTAGGAGTTCGATGGCGCAAGTTATTAGCTCATTCGGCTGCGATCGTTGAAGCAAGCAACGCAGCTTTCGCAGTGGTCGGTCATTGGATGGGTGACCAAAAATTTACTATCTCGAGCTCCTCCGTGCTTCGGAAGGCACGTTAAGCCGTTGATCCCGGCTGCATCAGCAGTCGTTAGCACCCACCAATCCGCACTGGGCCCGCGTGGTGGGTCATGGCCCTGGCCTGTACCCCAGCAGTGGAGACATTAATAGGCTGATGATGACGATGAAAAATTTATGTTAAAAAATTAATCATAAACCTCATACAAAATATCATACATGTGTATATAACACAAACATAAATAGCGTTATCACAAAATTAACATACTCGTATACGCATGTTTAAAGTATTTATATACCCAAGTAGGAAAATGACTCTACCCCACCTGATGTTAATTGGTGATAAAGTCCAAACGTGAAGATAGATGGTACAGCAGTTATAAACTGCCACACCAACCAAGGATGATTGGCCTGCCGGCCCGCAAAAATGCTTCTTCACGCCTCTCTTAAAGGACCCCAGATTGTAGGAAGGAGGGAACACGTGCGCGGGCAAAGAATTGCACTTTCGAATAGTACGACAAAGAAATGAGTCACCAAATTTCTTTGTTCGTGTAGGAATAGTGGCCACAGGAAGACGGTGGCAACGTAGGCCAGCGCGCGTGGTCCTCTGAAGAAAAGGTGATGGAGGGATGGAGAAAAACTCTTCAGAACATTCGCCGTGGTATAGTCGGTAGAATGCGCCTAATGATGCCACATCGCAGCGTAATAATGTGTTAATTGGATTTAGTTATCTAAGTACTATACTGACATTTCAAATCGAATATTTTTGAAAGAATTCGAGTCGGTCCAGCTTTCAGACGGGAATCGTATACTACCGTCCTCAAGCTAAAATGCGGCTAAGTGGCCTGTGGCCGTATTTTCAGTCTTAAATTGCATCTTATACAGTTTTTAATTATGTATCAATCTGTCTTTAACAAGTATTCTTATCTTTTATAGTTTAAGTTTAAAAATCCGTCAGGTGATGAATAAAACTAGTTTTTACGGGTTAATGCACGAAAACTTTATTTATTTATTGACGTTTCGTAGTCTTTACAGGCTACGTCGTCAGAATAAAACTTTTATTTAATTTGTCGGTAGCTCGACAAAAGCCTGTAAAGACTACGAAACGTCAATAAATAAATAAAGTTTTCGTGCATTAACCCGTAAAAACTAGTTTTATTTAATGAGTGATGTGCGTGAAAACCTAAGAAACAAATAGGTGATGAATAGTTACAAAATAGCAATAATATATGTTATAAAGTACGTTACATGAACCCTGTCAGGGTATTGCAATACTTGGTGTTCTTGTAATATTTCCTTGTAATAAATAAATATTTCCAACACTCACACCAATTAGCCTAGCCCCAAAGTAAGTACTGTAAGGCTTGTGTTATGGGATGCTAGGGTAACGGATATAATACATATAGTTTTACATATATAAGTATATTTATATCTAAATACATATTAAACATCCATGACTGGAGTACAAATGCTCGTATTCATCACACAAACACCTGCCCCCACCGGGATTCGAGCCCGGGACCTCTTGAGTCGGCGACACCATGAAACCCGGCGTACGAACCACTCGGCCACGGAGGTCGTCAAATTTATAATAGAATTTATAATAATCTAATATACAATTTTAATAAAATTTTCTTCAATTTGCATAATAAAACTCAATCAATCAAAATTAATATATTTCATCAATTATCCCATAAAAAATAATATTAATAATTAATTTGAATTGAATTATAAAATATTAATAAAATGAAAACTATGTACATACCAAATTACTAAATATAACCCACCTTAAAATCAACCGTAATCAATCATATCTCTTATCTATTAGACAAGTCCGTCCGTCCGTCTGTGGTGCTGTTTCAGCGGCCAAACCGTAAGAGATAGATAAAGGGAATATTTAAGTTATAAGTTAAGAATAGTCTGATAAGACTACAAACAGGATTTGAGTAATGTAGCACTTCCGGTTTTCGAGAAATCACGAATTTCAAACGAAACCACACAAAATCTCCGAAGTTCTCAATTAATTAAATACATTTTTTTTTAAATCAGGTTTTGGTGAACATTTGGTTCACTGGTTTGCTAGTACTATTATATTTTGAAATCAGACAATCATACATTCTGATTAAGCAATTAAGAATCGTATAAAATTGTATTATATCATTATTATGTGAATCAATCTATCCAAAACGTATTTCTTGTTAATAATATTTATTTAGACGTAAGGTATTGATCTATAGAGTAATAGCATTTATTTATCAAGAGCTTTTTTAATTTCCTTTGAAATATGTTAATGTTTTAAAGTTTACGCGTCGTTTTTTAGCCATATCCCAAAAGTTGTTACTGCCATTTAGCCGCGTTTTAGTTTGAGGACGGCAGTATAGTGGAAGATATGGAAATTTGAATCCCGTCTAAAAGCTGGACCTTGTAAAATTTATTCTTATGTAATTTTCTTTAGATTTAAACATCTGGCAATTAAATGCTAAAAAATAGAAATAGGTATAATAATCTTGTTTCCGAACTGGCCGTTTTTATACTTTTTTAAGTTTTTGGATATTTTTTTCTTAGTTTTATTGTCATCTACAATAGGGTTGATGACAGGGTACAGTAAACGAAATTCTATTTAGTCCGTCAGTTAGATGATCAAAAAATAATGGACACGTATTTTTTCTTTGGGCAAAGTTTGGGAGGGGCTCGTAACATCACTTTTGAGTGAAAATTGTACCAAAACGTGACGTCATGCGATTTTTCAAATCAATATATCTCTGCAATGTTAATATTATGTGAAAAAAGAAAAAATACGTGTCCAATACTTTTTGATAATCTACCTGATAAACTAAGAAAAAAAATTAGTCATCATCCCTATTCTATATTAAACGTCAATTCAGAGAAAACCGTATTTTATTAGTCTTCCTAACAAATCTACCATACATGTTCAGTAACTTTGTAGTTTGTTTTAATTTATTCAATTGGTGTATGCATATTTTGAAATCAACAAAGATGATATACATAATATTAAATAGCTTAAAAGTATGAACTTGACAATTGAATAATTAACGGACACGAACAATTAAATACACATCCTCATCAAAACTCATTGAACTTAAAGATAACATAAATTAGAATAGCGCACCATCTCCTGTTTAAAGTCGATTAAAAAAATTACTCAAGAAAACTTGTATACTATATTGAATTCTTTTATTTAATCATTTTTAGGGGTTCCGTAGCCAAAAGGCAAAAAACCCTTATGGATTCGTCACGTCTGTCTTTTTGTCCGTCCGTATCTCACAGCCACTTTTTCCGAAACTATAAGAACTATACTTGGTAAGTAGATGTATTCTGCGAACCGCATTATGATTTTCACACATAAATAGAGAAAGTACAATAAATTTTGGGGGTTCCCCGTAACTTAGAACTGGTACTCAAAAAACTTTTATATTATATTACTTGCTGCTACGGAACCCCTACATGACTACGGACCCCTACTCCGACTCGCACTTAGTTTCGCCGTTTTTTAGCATACCATCGACTTCCACCGTAATGTGCTTACATTAATAATGTAATGTCAATATTTATCAGATGTCGGCATTTGTCATGCGAAGCAGTTTATGTCAACATAGGAGGGAAAGGACGGAGAAATTATAACTTGATTTACACCTAATACGAAATCAATCCGTGATCATAATTCCTATTTTTAATACTGTTTAAAAACTATTTTTTACAAAACAGAAATTTAGTTCACATTTTATGAAACTGTAAAAAATAAATGGGTATGTTTTTGAGATGAATCATAGAATTTGTATATTAATTAAAGGATTCAATTTTAAAACTACTGTATCACTTATATTTGATAAATAAATTGTTCTTTTGCTGAGAAGAAACCTTTCTTGCACTCCAAAAATCCACAAGACATTCTCTGATAAGTTTATAACAACTAGTTTAATAGTAATAACAAGATCCTTACCTTTGTTATTATTAAACAAACTGAGACTCCATCCTTATGAAAGATTCACACGAATGAGGTCCAATTAGACGAAAGTTACAGAAACCGGTAGATACTTAACAATATAACGCTAAACATTCATAATTTGTGAGATTTCGGTTAAGTAACGAGAGAGCTGTATTGGTCAGTGGTAATGAGAAAAACGTAACAAAAAATAAGGTAGGTAGGTACATGATGATAATATTGCAGTGAACATGATATTTGCAATGAAATTGGAAATGATATCGAATGAGTATATAAAAAAAAAGTTTCAGCGACCGTAAACTCACGTGTCAGAACAAACCGAAAGAATCCAGGTTTGTGATCGTTTAGAAACATAATTTAATGCACGCTTTTTATTTTGTCATTAACCTTCGAGGTGCTCCGGTTTCGAATCGGCAACGTTTTATTTTTGAAACACGGTTACGCGCGCGGTGATTAGCCGCAGAAACGTTTAAACACGTTCGGAAATCAAACTTTTGTACGGACGCACTCACTGATTCTGATGTCGCGCGTGGCACGGTGCAGCGCCGGCGGAACTCATCAATGGCACTGGCCGTGCAGGCGAATTTAAAAAGTTTATTCGAAAAAAAAAAACAGTCACGCACTCTTTATAAAAACTTGTGTTTTGGCGGGAGGTGCGCAATACGAGCGCGGGCGGCGCGGCGAGACGAGCGCGACTGGCCGGCCTCACTGAAAAAGCTCCTTACGTGAAATACATACAGGGCCGATGTGCATTCTATTTATAAAGTTAAGTTGGGCGTGCGGCGTGCACCGCGGGCACGCGCCTCGGAACATCATAATATTGAAGTTATTAGGTCAGCCGATGAAACGCGAAGATAATAAGAATTACCGTAACTCTATCGTCGCGCCGCGCCGCCCTTAAATAAGCAATAATTTACACCTTGTAAGTTTTGAAATATGTTGCTGCCTGTCGAGTGGCGAGTTACAACATTGGAAGGGCTCCAAGAATAATACGTTCGCGGTACGCCTATGAAAGCCGTGAGAGCACCGTCTCCGGTCCGCTCCCATCAATCTGCCGTGAATATTTTATTTTGTAAAATAACATATTAGATTTCGCTTCGAGTCTAATAAATATCGTGTTCGACGTGCGGCCAAATTTATCATAACAATTTGGAGAAATTAATGGGAGCTGATGTTTTTATGGTTTAGAGTTTTTGTTGGCTGTCAGAAGTTGTCAAATCGTTTAGCGTAAAGAGGCGGTCGGGTGATGGAAACTGACGGAGAACACAATATGAACCGAACAGACTAATAAAAGTCGTCGCAATATCATAAAACCACTTGAATACACTGTTATAATAAAAAGGGATTTTACTTAAGTGACTATCTTCTTTGAAATTGTAATGAAAATATCTTTATTCAAAGCATTGTCCAAATATTTCTGTTAACTACATATAACTTAATTAATGAGTAGGTTAACTGAAATGTTCTATTATCTTTAATTATTTATATTAAAGTCAATATAAAACTATTATCAATATTTGATTATTTGATGACTGATAAATACTTTGATTTGATTGGCAATAATGAATTCTATGTCAGATTTGTTTCTTAGGTTTTCACGCACACCACTCGTTAAATAAAATATGTTACAATGGTATATATGCATTGATTATTTTTATTTATTGACGTTTCGCATTCTTTTCAGGCTAATTCTGACGACGCATCCTGTAAAGGATGTGAAATGTCAATAAATAAATAAATCAGTACATATACAGGGCGTCCCACGGCTTCCTCACACGGAGGGAAAGTATATTAAATATTGAAGATAGGACATTTTACTGAAAGAAGACATCATTTTATTTTTCTGATAACTAGAACTGCATTCACAGATTTTTTTAAAATCACCTGCTACAACTGGAAATCAAACTCGTGAAATTTCGAAAAAAATAACTCGGCATATTTTATGATAACCATCGAAAGGGTTAATCTTATGGATTATTTTTTGCAAAATAGCATAGCATTTTAAATGAAAGGAATGTGAATTACGTGATAAAAATAATAAAGTGATATTAAATTGTATGTAGTACGTATGCATTTAATTGTAATGCGCTTGGCTGAAATGTGTAATAATAATTCGAAAATATAAATTTGCACCTTGATATGAAAAAACGACCATAAAACTAAAAATAAAGGTCAAACAGTAAAGTGTTGTACCTCATTTGAATCAGCATTAAATCAGCAAGTTTTTTTTAATACAGGGTCACTTTTCTGTAATACATTTTTTTTTCACATGGTGCTCCTAAAGTGAGAAGTAATTCTTTGTAACGCTTCAAAATTTACGAAAAAAAATTTATTGCTCGTTAAATTTGGTACCGAGAGCTCCAATACAATTTTTGTAGTATTGATACATAATCCGGTCATAATACAACACCTTTTGTTTTATTGTGTTTAATCAATTTATTTTTTTATTGATTAAATTGTAAAAAAACTCGGTAGATTCATTCAAAAAAACAAAAATATTCCTAACTTTTCGTGCAATGAAGTTATGGCCATGCTGTAGAAAGATTTTTTGTTGGAAATAACCTTCTTTATCCCTCTGTTTCGTTTGATCCACGACTTTTTGACCACCCTGTATAGTTTTGATTATTGTATACACACACACACATATATATATATATATATATATATATATATATATATATATATATATATATATATATATATAGTTGTAGAAGACTTTTGCCTGAAACACAGGTTTACCTAGTTCAGGCTATAATATAAGTTATATATCTTTTGTTATTTCTAGAATAAAGTAATTTATTGTAAACAGAAATCGAAAAAACATTTATTATTATTATAATTAATTATTATTTTCTGGAGTTCAAATAAACAAAGTTGAGCATTCTAAGTGTTCCTAATTATAAAATTTGCAAGCTACGTTCCCCGGCTTTCCCTTCAGGAAAGCCCTACAATACCTATGCAGTTTTTAGGACAGAGCGCATAGCGGTTTTCCTATCATATATCTAATATATAAAATTCGATAAAAATTCTCGTGTCGCGGTGGTTGTGGTTAAACTCCTCCGAAACGGCTCGACCGATTTTCGTGAAATTTTGTGTGCATATAAGGTAGGTCTGAGAATCGGATGTAATCTATTTTTCATCCCCCTAAATGTTAAGTGTTAAGGGTTACCCCCCCCCCCCATTTTTTTTTTAATTTTAGATATTTTTTTTTTATTTTTTTTTTGTGATACATCATACAAAAATACATGCAACCCAAAATTTTCACCCTTCTACCACCAACCCCTATTTTTTTATGGCGGTACGAAGTTCGCTGGGACAGCTAGTGAGTATATAAATATGTGTCCGTCTTTTTAAAATGTTCAGCATTTAAAACTAAGTAAAGAAACTAACTGGGCACTTTTCTCTGCGCGTGCACAGTCTCAGTAAGGTCACGGTAATTCGGTAGTTGAGTGACAACAATACTTTGACAGATGACAGCTCTGACATGACTTTGACGTAACAAAATAATCATATCGAGTTTCAAAGGATGTCAAAACGTTTAGCGTACAATGTCAATGAATCTTTGAGAATTTAACGCTTGCCAAGGGATTATGTTTTAACATTTTAAGTGGGTATGTGGTAATAGGCTCCAATTATTACCACATAAAGCAAATACGGTTAGAAATGACCTAATAACACACACCAATTACCCTAGCCCCAAAGTAAGCACTGTAAGGCTTGTGTTATGGGATGCTAGGGTAACGGATAGAATACATATACAGTACATATATTTATATAGAAATACTAGCGGCCCGCCCTCGCTTCGCTTCGGTGTAGAGCTGAAGCGTAGACTACAGTTTTTGTTCTCAGGCTTGTTTTATACACAATGACATTCATCTATGATTATTCTTATACCTGCATGCAAAGTCTCAGCCCGTTCGGTTTTAAAATTGACAAAATTTCATACAAACTTTCATTCCCAATTTTATCCCCTTGGGGGTAGAATTGATCAAAATCCTTTCTTAGCGGATGCCTACGTCACAACATCTACCTGCATGCCAAATTTCAGCCCGATCCGTCCAGTGGTTTGGGCTGGGCGTTGATAGATTACTACGTCAGTCAGTCACCTTTGAGTTTTATATATATAGATTATAAAAAAACTGAAGATGGTATATTTATCTTTTCCAAACTTCTATTGACATCACGTCGCTCAATTGTTTTGCCTTCCCAGAATCTCTCCACTAACATTTGAAATTTATGGTATGGTATTAAAGTTCAAATTGACTTTTAAGTATTATTACGAATCGTTTGTATGGGAGTAAAGAAAAGTTTTGTTTTTTTTACATTTTCAGGCATTTTTTTTAAATTTTCTCTTCGTAAGAACCATCCTCGTACTTCAAGGAATATTCTAAAAAAAAATCAGCCAAATCGGTCAAGCCGTTTTCATGTTATGTCGTGACAACGGAAAACGGGTTTCATTTTTATATATATAGATATATTAAACATCCATGACTGGAGTACAAATGCTCGTGTTCATCACACAAACATCTGACCCCACCGGGATTTGAACCCGGGACCTCTCGAGTCGGCGACACCATGAAACCCGGCGTACAAACCACTCGGCCACGGAGGTCGTCAAATTAAACAAAACATATAGTAAAATGTATGTAGGTCAGATTTTGATGTCTTTTATTTAAGTCATCATCATCATCAGCCTATTAATGTCCCCACTGCTGGGGCACAGGTCTTCTTTATGGATGGATTAGGGAGATTGGGCCATGACCCACCACGCGAGCTAGTGCGGGTTGGTGGGTGATAACGAGTGCAGATGCAGCCGGGACTAACGGCTTAACGTGCCTTCCGAACCACGGAGGAGCTCGAGATAGTCAATTTTTGGTCACCCATCCAATGCCATCCAATGTTATCAATGTCTAAATAAATTTAAGCATTTCCTTCTACTAAAGTGCTATTATTATTGTTTAAATGAATATTGTAAAATTGTAATGAGAAATTTAATGTCTATTTATTCAAATTAAGGTATCTTACAATAATATACCAATATATATAAATAATTTAAACTCTTCAAATCCTTAAATAATAATGAACTAGCAAAACCAGTGAACCAAATGTTCACCAAAAAAAATGGTTGCCTGTAAAGTCGGTTTTACGGGCGAAGATTTTACGTGACAACGTCTTTTTCTCGGTAGAATATTTATTGATATGAATATAATTAAATTGCACAATAGGAACAAGGAATTGAATGAAAATAAGAATTGCACAAATTTTAACTATAGAAATATATTTTGTTTACTAAAACATTGTACATGTAAACTTAAACTTAACACGAGAGACTCATCGTAACGTTACCGAGCGTTACACTTTTTCATAAGTGACTCCCAGCCGCAACCTAATTTAAGACGTTGTCACGTCAAAAAATGTATTAATTAATTGAGAACTTCGGAGATAATGTGTGGTTTCGTTTGAAATTCGTGATTTCTCAAAAACCGGAAGTGCTACGTTACTCAAATCCGGATTGTAGTCTTATCAGACTATTCTTAACTTATAACTTAAACATTCTCTTTATCTATCTCTTACGGTTTGGCCGCTGAAACAGCACCACAGACAGACGGACGGACGGACGGACGGACGGACTTGTCTAATAGATAAGAGATACTTATAATTATAATAATAGTAATAATGAAGTATAATTAGCAATAACTATC